TTTTAGGAATATTATTGCCTGGTGTTGGAAGTAGAGAGGGGAATTGGGGGAGGTAAAAGGACAGCAATTGTCACTGGCAGAATTGAATGATCTTGAAAGAGATCTAAATATTTCAAAGAGGCAAGCAGAATAACTTCGGCCTCGTCTTCAAGAAAACAACATGTTACAACAAACCACTGGTATTACATTTCAAAAAAGACACCCTTGATCTATTCTGTTTTTTCTTAATAACAAATAGTTTGGTATATTTTAATGTCATAAATAGACTGTTTACAAAATTTTAGATGAATAACAATCGGGGAGAATGGCCTCTATAGAATCCTCCAAGAGTAGCCTCAAAACCATACTCTTACGCAACGAAAACGAGAAACCTTCAATACCAGTGGATCTTCCGTTCAGTTGAAGGAACATGAGGCTTCTCCTGAAATATACTGACTACTCGAATTACTAATGAAAAATCTGTGATCTGAAAATTGAAGCACTTCTTGTATGAATGCATTCTGGTTACACAAAATTTTGCTGTATTTCATATCACTCGTTTACTAGGGCAAGAAAATAACATTATATATTCAAAGAGTGGTCTTGAAGAGAATTTTCAATTCTGTGAAAAAAATGTGTCGCATGAATTCCTTGTTGACAAAGACAGTGAGCTGTTACCACCAGTCCATCTGAAATTGGGCATAATGAAGAAGTTTGTGAAACCAACGGACAAATATGGTCAGGGTTTTCAATTTTTCTATCTAAATTTGCTGCGAGTAGTACTACAAAAATTTAAGAAGGAATTTTTCACTGAGCCACAGATCCATGACTTGAAAGATATTACTTTGAACAGTTGCTGACAGATACTGAGAAGGCAGCTTGGATCAAAGGTGAATGTGACAATGTCTTACGAGATGAAATATCTGAGAATTACAGGAACAGACGCAACACATGCTGGACTGTTAAAAGGCTGTGGGAGGCAACATGTCTATGAAATTACATGTCTTTCATTACCATTGTTATTTCTTCTCATCTAATCTTGGAGATGTGAGTGACTTCTCCAAGGTATCACTCTTCCGGAAAGACGATATAAAGTAAAATGATCTTTACTAATCACATGGATTACTGCTTGACACTCCTACAAGACGTATCACAATGCTCCTACAAACGGAAAGTTTTTAACTTGTAAGTACATTTCAAAGTTTATTCAGCTTGCTCGTATTTTGCATACAAAAAATTAAACAAATAATTAAATACAAACAATCTAAGTAACAAAACTATTTTTGTTACACGGCCTGTAGATTGAAATAATATAGATTCCTCCTGTATTGTTAGTGAGATGTTTCCAAGTTTCTCGAAAGTGGTATATGAGGCGCATCTTTTCTAGAAAAATTGGTACGTGATGGAACATTTCTGATTTCATTTTCGCAATCAGTGCATGTGATTTAGTAAAAAAACACATACTTTCAACTCGCGGCAAGACACAAAGTTCAAATTTGTTACATCATGTGCCTCAACAAACTGGAGGTTGTAGTTCTATCAACTGACGGAAATGCAATTTCCAAAATTCAGAATACTAATGCATAATAAAATGTAAGCAATTGATATAAATGAATTTAATCAACATTTTAAAACAATCTGTAATGATACATTACTTATATATTTTTATGCGTAATATCTGTCTGTGGTATATTACCTCCCGTGCACTTGCCTCCCGTGCCTTTTATGCGTAGTTCTGGATTTAATTTTCAGTGTTGCACAAACACACATTTGCGCACATTTGGTTGCGTCACCAAAAATCACGTATTCACCCGCGTTAAAGCGAAGGGCCAAACAGTAAATGCAGTAAACCCATTAATAGTCCCAAGGGCGTGGTGCAATACCTGAGAAGCACTAAATGTTGGAGAGGGCGCCAGTTGGACGATTTTGGGTTTCATAATGATTTCATATAAGTCGATATTGCTGCAAAATGTTGAATATTAAATGTCATTAAAAAGAAAATGTATATTCCTAAGATATTATATGATATTTTTCGGTTACCAGGGAGTTGTGTAGCCGGGCAACATACGCATGAACAGCCACTGATTAACTATGAATGGTCATGGGAAGAAGCGCATTCATCTGGAAAGACGAGTGTTGGAAATAGCATCACTTGAAGAACGAGTACACTTTTCCGTCACCATTGTATTACAATCGTAATGCAAAGCGAGTGGCCGGAACAAGGACGTTGGTGTATTCGGCACAAGCGAAAGGCCGAACAATTTTTGGATTCACACATTGTAAACGACATTTGTTGCCACAAGAAAGCGTTAATTACACGCGGTGCATTTGACACGCGGGGCAGCTTGCCGCTAAGTTTCGCGCCCGGATGTAAGGTGAAATATGTCTCGCGCGTAGAGTCGTGTTGGTAAGTTGTGCAAAAATCGACAAAACGGATATGATCCGATTGAGAAGATACGTCACGAATATAGCGTAGGCTAAGTGGCTGCAAATAAGGGGTGAAGGTTTCGTGGCAACACAGCATATTCCTACTCCCAATTACTTTCTCTGAGAAATTTTAATTAGACAACAGGCATCATGAAAGCTACAATTGATCAGTTCATAAAACAACAAATTGTAGAATTGAATTTATTAAAAACAGTTATCAGAGGTTTCACACACCACCCAAATGCACTGCGGGAAGTCATAAAAACTTTTGTTTTAATGAAACCTTTAAAACCGGTAAATTAAAAGAAGTTGGTAACATATCAATGACATTTTATACAATAATACTATGAATATTGTAAAAATGGTCCAGTAAAACCCGAAAACCTAGCTATTTTCAGTCAGTTTTACTCAAAGCGTACCATTCGTGCAGTAACTCCCTAAACTTCCAATTTTGTGCAAAATAAAAAAAGTACTAAAATAACGTCCGTTTCATGATTCAAATTTTCTGGCAAGGTTCTATCCAATTTATGTTTTATGAAACGTTTTATAGAACAGTTCATGTACATTTTATAAAATTTCTGACTGTGTACAACAGGCGTACAAATACGTGTGATAAATTGCACATTTTGCAATTACTTTTGCATTCAAAATCACATCATAAACAATATTAAACTTCTTAAAAATGAAACCCACAAAAAACAAGCATCGCTGGGCCTATAAACCCCTTAGTAAAGCTAGGGTCATTGCATGAGATCGGGCTGTGGTGCTGATGAGCCACTCGCCCCCCTTACAAACTATCTCGACACCGAAACATGAAAATGAAACTAAAACAGTCACAGAAGAAACTGAAGACCTTATTTGCAAAGTCATAGTATGTCTCCATTCCCGCTTCTTTTCAGTTTTAATTATGAGAATATTGTTAAGACACTTCTCCATAATGCTACCAAACATTTTGCTGTAAAAAATATGTTTGCTCTACGTTTAATTGTAGAAGAGAATGACTGAATCCTTTCATGAACTCTGAGGCTAAAGATGAATAATTTTCCTCTTGGAAAAAAAATTCTCGAGATACATCTCATCGGAAAAAAGCTCTTTAATTGTTGGTTGAATAAATGTCGTTGGTACGATAAATTCAGTTTCCTGTTTGATCACCCCAAGGCTATAGTTTCTTTTATTCATCACTCAATGCCCCTCAACACCATTTATAATCGATTCCTATGGTATCTGGTGTACTGTGGTTCGAACACAGAGGCAAAGTTAGTGCGTGATTTGTGCGATTAAGTTTTGGTAAACACTAATTCCCGGAATAATTCTGGTACGAATTATTCCTGATTATTTCTTGTTCGAATTATTTGCGACAGTCACCAACATCTGTCCACTATTGCAATGTAATTGAGAACCACGCTGATCGTTTCTGTCGACACTACTCCAATGAACATTTTCAAAAAGAGAATAATCTACACCACATTTCCAGGATTGTTAAGTTACAAGCATTTTTCATCGATCACGGTTATCAATTTACATAAACGTCCAACTTTCTAAAGAGTCCACATATGAAGTTTATGGACATATCATCGTTCAAGGCGGAAAAGCAATTAGACACCTCAGAAACCATTCTTTAATGTTTCTGAATAGATTACTTGTCAGATGGACGCTAATATAGAAACTACGGCAAGTCCAACTTGGTACTGTAGGTACATGAACTTAAAGTATTAACTAGTTGTTGCCATACTTATATGTCATTAATGTGTGGTTTCTGATTCAGGTTATATTATCCGGACAGAAATTCATAGAGAAGAACTTTGTATACAAATTTGCGCAAATGTGGATTGGAACAGGCCTCATCACAAGCGGAGGTAAATCATGAATTCTTATTTTATTCCTGGAGACCTTTATACCATGTGATTGGTCTCTTGACAGCAGAGAAGTGCCGATTCTTGCGGAAAGTGTTGACTTGTTCTTGAAGATTCTGACTCAGTTCACGCCATGTGTGCATCTTTTTCTTCAAGTTGAGTAGAGATGACAATGGCGAAAGCTGCTGACACCAGTTTTCCACTTTAAAATCCTGGAACAGTTTATACCATTTTTTTTTCTCTGGGAAAAAATTGGCGAAAACGGTGGAAGCTTTTGACTCCTGATTTCCACTTTAAGATCCTGAAGCTGATCACGCCATGTATTTCTTTATTTTGAAAGGAATAAGTGGTGACAACGGCTGAAGCGTATCCCTCTTGCCTTCCACTTTAAGTTCATGCCATGTGTTTCTTTCTCTTGAGGGAATAACTGGTGACAGCGGCGGAAGCTGCTGACGCCAGCCTTCCGCTTTAAGATCCTGGAGCAGATTATGCCATTTGTTTCTTTGTTTTGAAGGTAATAAGTAGCGACAATGGCGGAAGCATTTAACTTCTGCCTTGGACATTAAAATCCTGAAGCTGATCATGCCATTTGTTCCTCTCTCTTGAAGGGAATACGTGGCGTCAGTTGCGGAAGCATTTGATTTCTGCCTTCCACATTAAGATCCTGTAGCTAATAATGAGAGGTGTTTCTTTCTTTTCAAGGAAATAAGTGGCGACAGCGGCGGAAGCTGTTGACGCCAGCCTTCCACTTCAAGATCCTGGAGCAATTCATCCCTGTGATCAATAACTGTGGAGAGGAGTTCGTGAAACAACTTCGAAGGCACGCGGATGGAAAAGTTTTCGACGTTTTTCATCCTGTTCAGCTGCTAACACTGGACATTATCTGCGGTGTGTTACTTTTGCTATACTGTCATTATGAGATAACCAACGCATTATCAAAAGATAGGATAAATGAGTAATTGTAAATATTTAGTTTCGATTTGTTACCATAACAAAATATTGTTTACCGTCTACTTGCGTACACATTGCATTCCATTCCCAAAGACTATAAAACGAACAAACACATAAACAACGATAAATAATTTGGGTAAAAATAATAGCTCAAGTCAAAGAATATTTGTAAGTCAAAATCGTTGTTTAACTAAAAATGTATTAATTGATTAATTCTTTTCACATTTACTTACAAAACAAGCATTTATTCTCCAAAAAATATTTTACGACACCCAAATAAAATCTGGATCGTAACCTGATTGTGATTTCATCACTGTACTCTCAAGTTTTACCCGTCCTCTGCATTTCAAAATTTCTGACTTAAAAGATAAAATGTATATGTAATTTATAATTTTGGGCGTATGTTAATACCATGTATGTTCTTCTTTTAACATTTTACAGAGAGCGCAATGGGTGTCACAGTTAATGCTCAGATAGACAGTAACTCAAATTACGTAAATGCCATGAAAAAGTAAGTAGAGTTTTGCCAATTTTAAAAACGAAATATAACTGGAATTTAGAATTCTTTTAAATAATCAGGGTAAAATACTTGTACACACTGTAGAACCCCGTTAACCCGATCTAGTTGGAAGTGGGATCTGTTGAGATTATCAGGAAAACGTTTCGTACACATACTATAAATACAACTACAGGGTTATGACATTATGACTGTACTAATTTCTTTCTTCAGTATCCTTCTACGCTTATTGTATAAATATTTAAGTCAAGAACAAAATTATTTAACTACAGAAAATAAAAATATATTTTGAATATTTGAATAATTTTTCCATCAATGAAAATTATTATTCAGAAGAGTATATTTTCAGAGTCAAGTTTATGACTGGAGCCCGAATCTTTCAACCTTGGTACTTTCTGGACTTCATTTTTCTCAATTCGCCTTCTGGAAGGGAATACAAGAAAGCGTTGAAAATAATTCACGGGACTACTGACAAAGTAAATGTTCTTTAAATGAATATGAATTATCAACTTCATACTGAATGAACGCGTTTCAGAGAAAAGAACATACACATATTTCGACTTGTTTAGGTCATCCAAGAGCGAAAAACAGAAATAGAATCGATGAATGGCGGCAACATTACTCTGGATGTCGACGGACTTGGTAAGTCTGACACTTCTTTATTGATATTCACCAATACACGTTTCTACTTATTATAGGTACATATTATTTTTGTTACACTGTCTCAAAACAATATCTGAAAGTGTTTTGTTGATAACGGCAGAGAAGAGAACTGAAAACGGAAGAGCAGAGAAAAACTGAAGAGAAAACGAAACATAAAGACATGTAGATTGGGATAAAAAATATTGCCAACTTTACTTATTTGATATCCAAAAAGTTAAATATACCTCATTTTTTGCGTTTGCAAAATACTAGAAGAAACTTTATAGGTTTTCTCGAAAACACGTGGTTATGTTTTTTAACTAGCGGTTACCAACGGGGTTGGTATTGTCCATCTGGACATTGATTTTCTGGAGAATGAAATCCTGAGGGTATCAATGACGAGAGTGAAGTCTCTTGTGGGGGGGGGTCAATATCTGATTAGAGGGAAGCCGAATAAGCTGGACCAGCGCCTTATAAGTAAAATCGTGATGTATTTGATTATTCATAAGGTATATTAATGAACGTGATAATTGTTTTCCAATATAAAGCATCAAAAAATTTAATAATAAATTATAAATTACTCTCTCTTCTTTCGTATCCGTCATTCATTCTTAGGATATCTGATATTTAGAAAAATCAAGAAATTATAACTAAGCATTTACAACTATACACTAGCGCGCAAGAAAATACTCTCCGCAAACATGCCCTCTGTAAATGTTATAGCCAGTTTTTAAAAAAACATTCAGCATTTTGCATTTTCTTTGCACTACAAAGATAATTAGAAACTCAGCTCCTTAAAAGAGAAAAAGTCTTTGATTGAATATTCATATATTTACGAGAATATATAGGTGAAATTAATTATCTTTAAGCTATTTAGTATGTATACGATTCTTTCAGTTATGATTATAGATGCTGTTTAGTATTGAAAATGCAAGGGGGCGCGATGAAGCAAACGAATCTCATTAAAGGGCTCGATGAAATGAAATGGGTGGGAATCCTCGGTTTAAGCAGTACTATGCTGGGCTACGACACAGATGACGTGTGTTACCGCGGGGTTCCAAATGACAGATAGGGAATATCGTAAAGAAACCATTTGTACTAACACTTTGTGCTCTTGTAGGTCGACGTCGCCGTCTGGCCTTTTTAGACTTGCTGCTTCTGAGTGCTAGAGACGGCAGCCTGTCGGACGCAGATATCCGGGAAGAGGTGGATACCTTTATGTTCGCCGGACAGGATACCACGGCCGCCGCCATTTCATACACCATTTTCCTGTTGTCGCGACATACGGACGTTCAGGTAGTATTAATAAAAGTACTGCGTGATTTTCATCCTAATGTCAAAATATTTTAGGAATTTGGGAGAGATTTTAAAATATTTGTACCGTTTTTGGTATGGAATACCCTTAAAAGTTTCAATACGATCCCTAACACGAACTCGTAAATGTGATGACGGTAAGGAAAACGTAAGATTCATGTCTGCGTATTTGCTTCTTCCATTACAAATTCAACATGGATCGACGGGTCTTCGAACCACGATTCTAGCGGACGAAGGCGTGCGGTCTAACTTCTACAGCTGCCTCCCAAACATGCAAAATAAAGTTAAACTGATGGTTATCAGCTATCACACACTTTCTCAAATTAGCTGCAATGTTTGCAATTTTCTGAATTTAAGAAAGTTCTTCGAAAATCGGATATATGCAGTTTTAAGGGTACTTTGCTCTGAGAAAGAGAAATGAAGAGAACATTTGTAGGCATTTTTTAGAAAATTTTGAAATTGTCGTGATAATACCTACAAAAATCAAATTATCCATTTCAAATTCAAGGGACCTTGACAACGAGATCGATCAGAGAATTTCAATTTCGGTAAGTTTTTTCACAAGCGGACCGATTTTTTGCCGTAAACATCATTTTTGATATCAAGAAGCCAAAGAAATAGGATTTTCATTTCGAAGAAGTTATTTACTACAGACAGGAATAAGAAATTACGACTTTTTCGCTATCAGGGACCACAAAAACGAGTTTCTCTGTTACAAAATGGCCATTTTTTGCTGCATCTTTACAATACTTTCTATAATCAGTAAGTGGTATACGAGAAAGTAAATAGGATCTACAAAGCAATCAGAAAATCAAAGAGTAATTTACTTTCGCGTTAACAACAAACTGCCACTGCCGTTTCACAAATTATTTTTGTTACCCTGTCACGAGTGAACACGTACAATATTCTTCGAACACACACACCTCGTATGATCAAGACTTTTGCAATATAAACGCATGGTTTCCTGTTTATTAAATTTTTAAGTCTTCAGGTCTGTATATGTATAAATCTCTTTTTAATAATATTTGCAATTATATTGAATACACTCGACTCTGTTTGTATAGTGGCTCTTTAGAGACAAACATTTTAGGTTGACCATATCAGAGGTTTACTTCGTTTTTTAAACCTAAGATTGATTTTATTACTTTAGAAGTCAGTAAAATATCCAGTACGTTCTTCGCCTAAAGCATGTCGTAGCCGGTACCGGTACCGGAAAAGTTCAAAGCTCCCGACATCTGTGGTAGTGTAGTGCATGGAAAGAAAAGTACATGTAGTTAGAGAGGGGTGAGGATTCGAGAAAGAAGTGGGAGGAAATATCGCGCGCGGTCTGTGGCCTGCTCTTGCATTCAACCAGCGCAGATCGGACAAAGACCACACAAAAAACTGGACTGGACAGGAGCAGCTGGACGCTAGAATTCTTTGCCAGAAAGCCACTGAATTCGACCTAACCATGTAGCTAGTGTTGAAAACCTCTCCAGCATCAGGACTCGAACTTGAACCTCTCGCACAGAGGCGTTGCAGTGACGTCAGTTGAGACCTCGAGCAACCTCAGTCGTGTTTTGTTTCAGAGAAGTCGGCAAGATAAACTGGTGGCAAGTACTTATTTCATCGTGGTAAATTCCGTAGTGGTAGCAGATATATTGTGGTAATCCATAATGTGAGAAAATAAAGCATTATTGTGGATGATTATTTCCTTTCTCACATTAGAGAACTTTGTGTGGGAACGCAATTTAGAAAAAAAAATAGTCATGTTGGTGCGATTTCCGTGGCTTAGTGGGCGTTTTCGAATAAAACATTTTTACAGTGTCACATAGGTGTGCAGAAGGGGGGGAGCCACAATTTCGATATCCCTCAGTCCTATGAAAAGAATTATTTACTTTCTGTAAATACGAACGTTTTCGTAACGTTCACTGTTGTTAAATTGTTAATTTGGGTTATTTATAATGACATTTGGGGAAGAGTCAAAATCAACTGTAAATCCAGAAAACGATGAAACATTAAATCAGTTGCTTTTATTTAATGGAATCATAAAAATGATTTAATTCTACTTATATTATATTTTATTTTTTACTATTAATATAAGTCATTAGTAAATAAAAAAGGGAGACAAGGGAGTTTTAACAATAGAAGGTTCAGTGGGGGACTGCGAGGTCCTGAAAAATAGTTGTTCTCCCTCTTGTCTTAGGCTGCGCTCCACTTTGTTGTCACGAGGTTATATGGTTTTAAATTTTTGCGTTGTTAAAAATGGTAGATTTTTAGCAATTTCTATAATTGCGAAATGTTTCCAAAAGCTGAAAAAATAGAAATTTTATTATTGACTGTCGCTGAAGAATATTTATTAAGGTTTTCAATCTGCGATACAAGGCGAAATCGATCTCAATATGCGAAACCACGTACAAAGTGTGAAAGAATCGTAAATCTGCGAAATAAGTGTTAAATTACATTTTATTGTGTCCTTTGTATTCATTCTCTAACAGGACAACAACACATTGCTATTTGTAAACATTTAACTTGAGTGTACGTATTTATTAACTTACGATTAAGATTAACACAATAAACAAAGTGAAAAAATGAGAACAATTAAGAAGGCTGATTCTGAAATCCTGAACGCTCAGGGTCATCTCAAAGGGTCTCAGCTTCCTCAGTTCGCTGTATGGAGAACATTAGGGAAAGAAGAGGAAGGCCCTAAACCTAAGACACCCGTCTTACTCTTTTCGCTTTTCACGGTTCTTGAGATTTTTTATTTGTAGAAGTTCACAAATGAGGAAATATTAAATTATTTTCCTTTATTTCCTGATTTTAGGGCGAAAATCGAAAAAGCTTCAAATTATTTTTTTTCTCAATGATTGCTGCTCTAATAATAATATTATATAACAATAATATTATATAACAATAATATTATTATCATTATTATTATTGTTAATATCAATAAATGCTCGTGCCCAGTCGGACGTTGGTCGGACGTTCGACGCAGCCATTTTTGAACTCAAGTAGTTTTCTCAGTGGCACTCTCTCTCTCCCCCTTTAATTCACCGTGATGAAAATACTTTACAAAACACACTTTCTGCCAACTCTCAGCGTCACAAAAGTTTGAGTTTATTATAACCGAATCTCCTATTGCTTATTTGTTATTTGTGTGAAATGAGTCCAGTGATTTCAATTTACTACAGCCAAAAAGTTCACAATAAACAGAGTCGACTGTAATTTCTTGAGTGATATTTAGGGCACCATTTTAAAAGAATATATCTGTAAATTTCAACGTCTAGAGTAATCGTCACGCCCCTCTATTCATTTCGTAGGAAAATATACTGGACGAGTTGAAATCTATATTTGATCCACAACAACCTTTGCGGCCGTCTCTTCAGCAGCTCTCAGAATTAAAATATTTAGAAATGGTGGTGAAAGAATCACTCCGTCTGTATCCTCCTGTACCTCACTTTAATCGCTGGAATCCAGAGGACACAAAACTTGCTTGCGGTAAGTGAAATTTCATAAATGGTAGTGAAGATGTCTTAACAAATATTTTCGAAATATTTCGAAAAAATATTTTTAACAAATATTTTCGTGCAATAATATTTCTACAACAACAATTATAATTCGACGACGACGTCGTCATTGCATTCGTTATTGCTAGTCTAAGTTAATTTTAGCAATTTTCAAAAATACAGAGTTCACCAAAAATTCAACGTGCGTCGTTTTTGTAGCCACACATTCGAAAAACGATTTCTCAATTCGAAAAAAAATTAACCAGATTAGCCGGAGGTGGAGTCGTTTTGTGAAATACAATTACGTTAACTTCCTAGACTTACACGAAAATTACGCAAACATCTAATCAATTTTCGAAAAATTTTTCCCAGAACATACAGACCAGTAAAATGACCATATTTACAGACCTTTGACTTACCAATGACATTTCATGTCATTGAACCTACTTCTTTTAGAATAAAATATTAATTGTCATTATAGTAATTGTAGGATGATACCAAAAAAGTTTGAACGTTTGCATTTTTTTAATCCAACTAAAATGCGAAATACAACAGCTTTATAAAGGTTTTCTGCTATATCCGGAGAAAACAAAACTAAAAATACTTGGGGCAATTTTCAGAAAATTTTGAAAATATCTTTAAGGCTTCATCTTCTAAATTACCATTAAAAAATCAAAATATACGTTCCAAATTCAAGGAACCTTACGCTCAACCAATTCGATCAAGAAATATCAATTCTGCTGAAAATCCTAATTACCGTTCAACAGCTACCGCTTTTCACAAATAGATTGACACACGTTTTGCCGTAAACGTTTTTCATTATTAAGGAGGTGGATTCGGACAAGAACGTGGGAAAAAAAATAATTTTACTCTATTAAGAAACATTCACTTTTCCTGCATGAGGTACCTACTAAACGACGTTTTGTTTCAAATAATCGCCTTCTTTGCTACTGAATTACTAATTTCATCATTACTATGAAACTAGTATCATTGAGAGTAAAATACGATTAAGGCCACAATTCTGGGAAGATAGTTGCCAAATTGTGTATTCGCTTTCTCATAAAGTGTTCTGTCATGTGCTCATAGAGTATGGTGAAAAAATAAGTCTGTTTTAGGCCAGATCATGCCCCAGGGAAGTTCGATATCTATAGTACCGTACTCTCTACATCGTGACCCAGAGGTCTTTCCGGAGCCCGAGAGGTTCATCCCTGAGCGCTTCAGCCCGGAGGAGAGCGCGCGCCGCCACCCCTACGCCTACATCCCCTTCAGCGCCGGCCCCCGGAACTGCATCGGTGAGTGCTCCTCTGAACATTGCATTCCTACGCCTACATTCCCTTCAACGCCGGCCCCCGAAAATGAAGGGGCTGCATACTTTAGGAACCGCATCTTAAAACGCATCACTGAATGCTTCGATTGTGTTGTAGGTCAGCGCTTCGCCATGTTGGAAATGAAGAGCGTCCTAGCCAAAGTCGTGTGGAACTTCCACCTTCTGCCAGCGCCAGACTTCGAACCCGAGCTCTCATGGGAAATAATACTTGTGTCCGTAAACGGGATACAAGTGCGGATGAAAGAGAGGAGATCTAATTGATCTTGAAATATTTTGTATTTAAATACACTAATTTTTAAATGTACTTATTTTGCTAATGTACAATACAACAATGGATATGTGACATGAATTACAGAAATGTTCGAATCATATGAATCACGTCCTTTTTAAAGTTGAAACTTTACAAATAAAAAAAATATGTAGGCAGTACATCGCACATTGCATTAGAATATTTCGAGAAAACGGACATAGTTGATATTATTATTTTGGGAATTAATTTATTATCTCGAATGTAATTGTGATTAGTCCGTCGTTCCACTTAAGAGGTCTCTGAAGCCACCTATCTTCTTATCTTAACGAGTCTTTTTATAGGTGTAATTCCATGAAGTTTTGCTTACGAATATTAACATTTCTTGACAACAACAACAACAAAAATCATTTTTGTCGCTAATAGCACAAGCAGAGTAAACAGACACCAATCAAGTTTTATAAATCTGGCTTTTCTTGTAGATTGTCGTACATCCCACTTAAGGGGCCTCTAAGGCATAGTTTTGTTTTGTGGTTTATTTCAAGGTACATTTATGAAGTTAATATGTGCAAATATCGACAATTGTCTATGCAAAGACATTCCTTTATTTTTCCACTTTATGACACCATCTCTTTTGAGTTAACAGATGTTCAATACAAATCTAAGTTTTGCTTCTGTCACAAATGTGAGCACGGTTCTTGTGTAAATTGTGCGGGAAGTAGTGACCAGCAAAAATTAATCTCCCTTCAGTGGATATCTGTGAAAGTTTGAATTAAGAAGAGCGTGAATACGTGCTGAAGAGAATTAGTTTTGAGTAAAAGAAGTATTTTTTTGACAACAACAATGAATATTCGCCTATGTGGTGGCCGAGATCACTAAAGCAGTGGGGCCGTAGCGATCTCGCACCGAAAGATCGCCGGTTCGAGTCCCGCCTCGGACATGGTGGTATTGTGATCGTTCTTTCACCCCCTATCATCACCCTATTGTGTCATCATCACTATTACCATACCGTTACAAGCAATAGTGGTCGGTAATGACCTAGGAGTTGATGCAACCTTAAATAATAATAAAAAAAGAATATTCGTAGTTTGGAGGATATTCTCACTTTCATGACAAACGGCAGTGTTCTTTCAGATAGTGTATGCGGAATAAAAGTGCTAAATATGGCACGAAATATTTTAATGTTGTGATGTGGACGATGAGTTTGCCTTGAATGGCCGAATATACTGTGAATACATACTACGAATGATTCTTTGTGAATGATTTGGCTGCAAATATGAAAAAACTGAGTGATCCCCTGAGGATTGGAGGATTCAAACATACTGTGACTACTTTATGTATATACTTTACTTTCCTACTCCTTACAGAGTTCTTGTTACGAAAAAAAAAATCATTGCTAAGAACTTTATGTCAAAATACAATATATATTCCAAATGAACTGCAAACTGTAACAAGCATTTTTTCCAGTGTGTCTGCTCATGGCAATCTTTTGACATCACAATCAGTAATTTATTTAACTTAACAACAAGAAGCTATAAATGATCTTACTATCCAATTGATATAATACAATTTATAAAATAATAATAATAATAATGATGATAATAATGATAATAAGAATAATGATAATAATGATAATGATAATAATAATAATAATAATAATAATAATAATAATAATAATAATAATAATAATAATAATAATACAACGAAAGGAACAGATATAATGGATTAGATGGTTGATTAGCATTCGTCAAGACATCAAATATGCCGATGGCCAATGCATCTCTCGTACAATATAATAGATATTGAAACACTTAATACATTGTTTACACCAAGATGCCTAGAAATTGTAAGGAAAATGTCACTTCGTGGCGACGGGTTTTCCTAAATTAAAGGAAACATGAAATTATCTTTTAACAATCGCAAAACATTTGACATGAAACATTGAACTGTCTGAAGGTTTTCGAAATCCACAAAACTGTAGCTACTGAAAAATGCAATAGAACGTCCACAAAAAGGAAAGGTAAGTGATTTTTGAAATTAAATATAAATAAAAATATAAACATATTGTTTATTATTGTCTGTATATAAGTTCCCGTTCTTATTTATAACCACACAAAATGGTCAGAAAGAGTAAGACCAAAAAAGGGAAAAATATATTTGAGGAGAACACTATTTAAACATTTCAAAATAAAGGCTGCTAATAACTAGAAACTTGAATGGTCAGTGAGAAAAAAAGGACGGGAACGTTTGATATGTATAAATAAAATTCTATTACAACCATGTAATATTTTTTTCTCGTTTTTATTGTTAACTTTGAATTTTGGAAATTTGTAAAAGTTGGACAATTTTGAACCGCTCGTACAAGTACAGAATTGAAGAAAAACACCATTCTGCCAATGAATTGTGTTCTCCACAATTAGTTCTTTAATATAAGTAATGTACATTCTTTTTGGAAACAGTAGTGACAACATACTTTTTTGTCCAATATTAGAAACATGAAAAGAAAGATTTCCTTAAAACGGCTATTTTTGCATTTTGCACAGAGAGTGCCCAATGCACTTAAGAACATGATATTCACACCATTTTTATGTCTTCTTTTTATTTTTTAACGAAATTTTATCAAAAATATGTTTGATTTTTTTAAAAAATTTACATTTTTAACAAATTCATCTATAATATTTTTAATATATATTTTAGTTCTACTCTTAATAGTCTCAGTAATTGAGAAAATGCGAAACAAACATACACATTTTTGATAAAAACATAATTTCTTTAGTATAATATTACATGACAGTAATCTAAACCACTATTTTTATTGACACATGCAGTAAAAATTAATATAAAATTTTACGTCGATTTAGATTTCAATATATTTTCATGTATGTTTTCATTTCTAAGTGCGATGTTAACAGGTTTCAATGCTCAGATAACTTTGTTGAATTTCTGGTATTGAAACAAAGAAAACGTTACTCAGGTAGACTGATTCAACGCTACAAAGCGCAATAAATATCGTGGATGCATATAAATTAACCCGAGAGAATCCGCAGTTGGCCGAGATCTGCCGCTTGAGCTGATATATAAATGTAGCCAATACGTGAAAGTTGGAGAGAGGGCGGTAAGCGCATATAGGGGGTGAGTACAAGACAACATAATACGCACACACGTGCGGTGTATAGCGTGAATCCGGCTACACCGGAGCTCCCACTAATTGACGCGCATGGTGAATGGTCAGAAGTCTGTAAAGTCGAGTTCCGAAAGGTAACATCAGGACACCAGCAACGCACGTTCAGGCACACGCCATGCACAATTCGCGGAGCTATTGTGGCGGATTCGATATCAGGAAGCCCGGCGATACACTACAAGCACATAGCCTTGGAGCAACCCGGCCCGTGAAGACTCAGAACAAAGCAATAAATTCAATATTCCTGCGCGCCCGCTATCTCCCTTGCCATCCCGTCTCGGAAGAATTTATGAAGAATGCTGGAGCGTTGAAATCTTCGGACACAGTGGTTCAAGGCTTTATTCCTCAGTCTTGCCCAATATAGAATGTGTAATTTGTTCTCCATGTCAATTGGTAAACATTGTACATGTGTGTGTTTCAGTGTGTATGTAGTGTTCATGAGCTAACGAGTGTTCCTGAACATAAAAAATGTGCCTCATGTTTAACACAGTGCACATACGAAGTACAGAGAGCTAATTATTCAGAATGTAATCAAGGTTCTATTGGGAATCATTTCATCATGCGTATTCTCTGTGTTGTATTTGTATGTCGCAAAAATTATACTCCACTATCTGGACAACTTAGAAACCTTACAATTAAACAAAGAACTGAGAAAAATGTTTAAATAAATAAAAAAATGCCTATACTTCACACAAAATTACGCAAAAACTACAAAAGTTTCCAAAAATTGTACATATTTAAAAAAAAGTCTTTAAAAAACAGAATTCGTTCTGGAAACTAGAAAAAAATGCTCCATCTTCAATATTTTAGTTGTAGGAATACGCTGAAAAAAGTTTGATTTCAATGAAACTAAGACCTGCACCATTCTCTTAAATATCCTTCACATTTTCCAAAAACAAAATGTAATCTAACAAATTGAATTTGTTGGATTTGATTGATTGATTGTTTAGCGATTCTTGCACGTCAACTAACACGTAGTCCCGTAAGTGCAGTTTATGTTTTACTCGGGAGGGGGTGGTGTTCTTTCGCCAGCTATATGGCGAGATCCGGCGACAAATTACCATCGGTTTGAGGGCTTTTCCCAACCAGGTATCTGCCATCATCGGGGCTCCACCCCAGTCTAAAGTGATAGTTCAGCAAAATTTCTCTACAATTGATATATCCCAAACGGCTTAAAGGATCTCGAAAGTCCGCAAATTTGAAACGGATATTTTATTTTTCTAAAGCACTTTACATCAAGACTTTTTTACATGTTCAAAACGTTCTCAAAAATAGCTCCAAATTTTTTGACGAAACTGTACTCTCTGCTTGTGTAAAAGGTACTGAAAATGGTCAATGTTCATTGATATACTTGATTTGTTGAACATTTCGAAAGTGTAATTTTTTTGGCATCTTCCAAGAACTAAAATTTTGAAGTTGGAGATTTTTACCTTAATAAAATTTGTTGTTGAAAGACAAATCTTTAAATAAAATACCGAATTGTTGTTTAGAAAAATAACATTTCGCATAATTTGGCCTGGAATCGACTTCAAATTTTTCTTAAAATGTTATTCTATTTTTTTAAACGGTAAAAAAGTGGTACCAGTCAAATTTCCGACAAATTGTAGTTTTCAAGTTTGCCTAATGTTTAATTTGAAAAGTACTATTCTTAAGGTAGATATTTTTGGCTTAACAAAATCTGTTCTCAAAAATCAGATCTTCAAGAACAATGCTTTGAAAAAATGTGTTTTGTGTTCGAGCAATTTCTGCTTGAAAATAAAAAATTTAAAAAAATTATTAATAACCCCT